CCCCGCCTCCTCCCCCGCCCGTCGCTCTCCCACTCCTCTCGTCCTCCTCGCTCCGGTTCGCATTGTTCTGCGTCGCTCACTGGGCCCAATTGCACTGAAGGGGTGCACAAGGGAAATTCTGTTTATGGTATAGGAGCACGATGAGTTGTTCGCAGACGAATGGCAAGATGAACAGTCAGGGAGGCAGAGACATTCATTGAAAAAGGTAAACCTTTATTCGTCATCCCAGTTCCGTAAATCCTTTTAAATCTCAAGATCGAATGATCGGACAATCGCATTCATACAAGAAAGTAAAAATATACAAATTTTTTAATTCGGCATGAGTAAATTTTTCGAGTAATGCAATAGTTGGAGCACTAAAGTGAGATTTTTGTGTTAATTATAACTGACTGAACAGTGTGTTTTGAACAAAGGTCATTCAAAGATACAAAGTGAAGAAATAAGTACAATATAGAGCTTAAAGAAGTTTCATAGTTTGCAATGAAACGACGTAAGGAGGTACCGCTGAAAAAGTGTATTTTTATATGTAATGCAAGCTGTTTTAGAATTGAAAGAACAATCGCAAATGATATGCTCATTCCCTCTCGTACTGCGAATACAAACTTTAAAAATGATGAAAAGTCTAAATGTATCTCCATGATAATGGAATTATGTTTGTTTAATTTTTTCCGCGGCTTTGATGCGATGGAGAGACCATTTGGGGTGAATACCAGAATTCGAAGGATTAGAACGCGAAAGGATGTAGGTATTGTAATGGCTTAAAGGCCTTCGGCCTAGCCACATAGGATCAAGTAATCTAATTCGTTTGTAATAATTACCTATTAAATAAATAAAATAATTAATTTTAATACCCTATACATATTTTTACTTAAAAGTATTTTCATTCGACAACTATTTCCCTGTTGAAATCGCTTTTTGGAGTCGGCCTGAAATCCATTCGCGCGCTTGTGAGGCGGTTCGGGCCCTGTGAGTGCTTCAGAGGAGCCCGTATTGCGAGCGCCACCCCCGCGAGGCGAGGCCCAGCCGCTCGCGCTCCTCTCTCGGCGCAGCGCGTTCATTTCACGGGAGAAATACGCGGAGAGCGCGCTGTGTGCTCTGCGCAGGCGCCACGCCGCTGTGGAAGAGCCCAACTACGAATACCTCCTTATGAGCTGACTGAGCTAGGATGTTATGGCGTTGTAGTTGATTGTGCGTGCCCAAATGCCGCAATTTTTCACTGAGTATGGCACGCTGACATCATACGAAGTTGTACTGAAATTGTTTGAGGATTTGCTCGAAACCTTCTGAACCTGGATGTTATCAACATTTACACTGTAATTACGGAACATTTAGTCTTGAGATGTACTTTTAATTTATTTTATGAAGCTCAACGTATCAACTCTACGGTAATTTATTTTTGATCCAAAAAGAGTTACATTTGAATATATATTTGCGCATTTATACAGTCTTTAGTAACAAGGATTAAACGTAAATAAGTCTCGTGGGCCTTTTATGTTAGAACCTTCATTGACTCAAAATACATCACAAATAAAAGAATATATTTCTTTACTGTTTCAGATAGTTTTTATAAACTTCGCGACTTTTATCATACGTCTAACAGGTTTTCAAAAACTTTCTATCGTAGAATGCGCTTTGGCTAAAGAAAAGTCGAAACATTGGGTTTGTCGTCATCGTTGCTGCTTGCAACAATATTCACGGGGACTCGTCGGTTGACGATTTTCATGAGATTCACACGTTATTCGTTCTTCGCTGAAGTCGATGTTGATGTACTGTTGAACTGTCACACACTCGTCAGTAAGTGTTGACACCATGCTCGAACAGTTTGCCCCGACATCATAATAACCGCAACCAAGCCGGTTTTCTACCACTCGGGTGATAAGAGGACAACTAACTAACCGCATTCATTTCTGTAACACACGTCCGTCATTCATACCATATTTTCACATGGCTTAAACACACTGAACGTCCGCTCGCCCGGCCTGATGCGAATGCCCGGAACGGTTGCATCGAATCACAGTGAAATGCAGTGACGCCAACGAGGCCCCTAACTGTAAACGGTGCGATTTTTTCTTCTTGTAGAGCCTCACATATCTGAACATTTTAAGAGCTTTATGAGCATCAGACAAACCTGTTACACTAAGCTCATTTTTCAGTTCTTTATGTTTTGTCTGTAAAACATCAATATTACGTTCGTAATGTATGAAATTAAAACATAATTTGACGTTTGAGAGTTTTTAACACTTTATTAACAGAGATTTTCGTGTAATGAAGTTTCTGGCGACTCGTTAATATCAGATGATCAAGACTTTATTGTTATTGATTGTAACAGATAATAGATTGTGGTAGTGGACAGATGTGTATGGATAGGCAGAGAAATATACGACCCGTTGGGTAGCGGTGTACATATCGGAGCAAACTGTTCGGGCACGGTGCTGGTAGTTCCATGAACGTGAGTGTGACAGTGTATCATCACCGTGGGTAATGTTGTCAAACGCAATGATGATGTGGAACGCGTAATTCCCACTTTTTTCTGGGGCAGCGCACGGAATTACTATATGATAGCACGTGTACATAAATACGAGTAAATAACAAATACACGAGTCTTGTTTTCTCTCTTCAGCGCCCAATGAGTGGCCTCGCTGCTCCTGGGAAGAGACCTAGCGGCCGGCTGCTCGGATCTGACGATTTTAGCGGTTTCTCTGATCAATACCAGGCGAAAATCGGAGCAGTATCCTAAGAAATGGGCCACGGACCGCGC